CAAATGGTATCCCTCTGTGGAGAAGGGCCAGGCCTTCTTTTCACAGGTGAAGAAGCTGCTCCCATAAATCAGAGAGATAATGACTTTGATTTAAGCAACTTGTTAACAGCTCTCAGAGAAAACACTCTGTTACATAGCTAAACTCACTGAGCTTTTCTTTCTGAACTGCTGAAAAGGGGGGAGCATATTCTCATCACCGAACAAGTATTTTTAAGAATCATAAGTGAAATTATTGATCTTTGCATGGAAATACATAACTTTTCTCCAAGATCATCTGGGCCTTGTGTTCCTGGGGTCCACTGAGATTCCCTTTCCTGATATTTTCTGCCATAACTGCATTATACAACCCAGGAATGCCTCTCTGTTTTGCCATTCCACCTGAACGTGTGTCGGACAATGAAACCCAATTAAAGGCAGCGGAATTCTAGTCATTCTGGACAATGTACAGCCTCCGTTTCCCAGGCAAGAAGGAGCAGCTCAGGCTGCAATCTTGGTCCTCGCTCATTCTTTTAAACTGCAGCTTAATTAACCAGAGAGGGCAAAACTGCACCTGCGATCCAGCGCCAAGGAAGAACATTCTCCTCGAAGTGTGGCCAGAGGCGGGCAATGCTTTCCGGGCCAGAGAATCCAGCGGGCTTGGCTTCCCGGGCGCGACTTCTCGCGCAATTCCGTGCCGAAGAACTGTGCCCGAAGCCGCAGGGAGAGCGGCCGCGAAGGCTCGGCGCAGGCGGCGGCCGCGCGAGGCGCGCAGATGGCGCGCCGGGGGCCTATTCCGCGGAGAAGGACTGGCCGGCCCGCGTCCTGCCCCTGGGTGCCTGCAGTGCCTGCCTGAGCGCCGCGCCGGCGGGCGGGCGGAGGCGTCGCGGGGTCCGCGGGGCCGCCTGTGCGCCTCGCTCCGCAGGCAAGCCGGGGAAGTCCGCGCGGGGGGCCGGTGGCACGTGAGTGGCGTCGCCCGGCCGCGGGGGGGCGCGGGCTCAGGTGTGTCCCGGCGCGGCCGGGCGCCTCCGCGGCGGTTCTGCGAGCGGTGCCCCGGCCGGCCGGCCGGCCGGCCGGCCAGCGGGCGGGCGAGCTTCACTTCACTTCAGGCTGCCGACGGGGGCGGCAGCCGGGGACGAGCCCGACGACGCGGGCCTCCGGGGCGGCTGCTCGAGGGGAGCCGAGAGCGGGCAGCGGAGCAGAGGGGAGGCTCCGGCGGGGAGAGCCAGCGCTCGGCCGCGTCCCCGGGAGGCGCCCGGCCGGGGGCTCGGGGGTCTCCTCCCGAGGCGGGCATCGCGCGTGGACTTGGCCTGCACGGGCCCGCGGGGGCTCTCCGGACGCGCGCTCTCGTCCGCGCCTGCCGGACACCTGGGCGCTCTGCGGGCGGGCAGCGCGGAGGTGGCCCGCAGCCGCAGCGGCGGGCTCTTTAAGGGAAAGGCCGCGCTGCCTGCGCCGGAGGAGGCGGAGGCGGAGGCGGCGCGCAATGGGCCGAGCCGGCGGGGAAGGAAGGAAGGAAGGAAGGCGGAGGAGGAGGAGCCGCGCTGGGCCGCCGCGCTTCCCAGCCTGAGCGCGTCTTCCTGCTGGGCGGGCGGCGAGCGAGCGAGCGAGAGAGACGGGCGCAGGACACCGGGCCGGGAGGCAGCCAGCCAGCCAGCCCCGCAGCCAGTGGGCCGATCGCCCCCCGCGTCGCCAGGGGCCCCGCCGACCGCGCGCCGTGTGCCGGGAAGATGGCCGGGAGCAGCTCCATCGAGGCGGTCAAGAAGAAGATCCAGACGCTGCAGCAAGTGGCCGACGAGGCCGAGGAGCGGGCCGAGCACCTGCAGCGGGAGGCGGACGCCGAGCGCCAAGCCCGGGAGCGGGTGAGGACCGGTTCGCCGCGGCCGGGGCTCTGCGCCGCCACCGCCGCCGCCAGGCTCGCCCGCCGCCGCCCTTCCCGAGGGGCGCGTCGCGGCGCTTTCCGAGGATGCTCGCCTGGAACGGGCGCCCGGGAGGGCTCGTGCTGGGGCTGCAGCGCCCCGGGGGGGCGGGGTTCTCCGAGCATGTGCAGAGCGCCTTGCCTCGCGCCTCCCCTCAGCCCCCTTGCAGAAGGCCTGGCTTTGGAGCGGGCGGGGGAGGGGGAGTTCCTGGCGCAGCCCAGGCCCGGACGCGGGGCGGCGGCCCCCGCAGGGGCCCCCGCCTGCCCCGGGTTCCTTCGCGCGGCGCTCCGCGGCTGCTCCTGCAGCAGCGCGCTTCGCCGGAGCCTCGGCCCATCCGGCTGGGGGGCAGCGCGGGGAGGAGGGGGCATCCGCGCCCATCTCTCTGCCCCTCCCCACTTCCTTACGCAGAGCTTTCCGTTTTCGAGGCCAGGCCCCACTCGCGTGGGGCTGCCCTGGGCGAGCGGCGGAGTCCCGCCTCGCGCGTGAAGATGCAGCCTTGCACGCCAGCGGCCCCCCCCCCCCCCCCCCAGCCCCCCCCCCCTTTTTTTTTTCCACCCTGGCCCCCCCCCTTTTCCCGGCGGGAGGGCTCCCACTTCGCATGTGGAAGCCACATGGAGAGCGCCGGTGGTGTTGGGCGGGCGGGCGGGCAGCCCCTGCAGACACCAGTCCTGGGTGGTCCGGCCTGGCTGTCACGCTTCAAAGGCGGCGGCCTCCTGCATGTAACAGGTAGCTCTTGCTTCTAGGCACCTGCACAGAGCCCTTTTGGCACTGTTCTTTGGTTGGGTTGGTAAAAGAGCCCCTGTGCCCATTGCGTAGATGGGAGAGCTGAGGCCAGGAGTGTGGGATGGCGCTGGGTCTGCATGCAGCTGCGTTGAGGTCTGAGTTTTGGATCCCCCCTCCTCCTCCGGGGGCCGCTGCTCATACCAGCCCTCAGGCATCTGCTGCCTCCATTTGCTGATTGCACCTTTGCTTGGCAACCTCGGGCGGAGGAGCGGTTGCTTGAGCTTGCTGTTGGCCTTCGATGGGGAAAGGGTCCCCAGGTTGTCCCTGTGGATTTGGGCTTGGACGGACTGGCCAACTGCCGGATAAGTGCCTGCCTTTTGATCCTTGGTGGGGGGCAGGGCTATGTTTGGGGGACAGTATCTTATGGGGGTGGGGATAATAGTAGTTTGGCCTCTAGCAAGAGGAGAGGGTTGGACCTGAGGGGGGTACTTGGGCAGCACTTTCTCCTTGCGGCCCCTTGGAGCCACTCCACCCCCCACATGGGCCTGGATTGCTCCTCCGGCCCAGACAGTAGAGGAAGATCAAATACACGGACCCTTCAGAAAGGGCCTGGTTGGCTGGTCGTGGCACCAAAGGCGTTGTGCAGCAGGAGGGGAAGCCGGGAGGACTCCTTTGCCTGCCAGCGTGCGGAGCAGGGTGTGCTCTGCTGGAGCGGGCTGGGCTGGGCTGGGCTGGGCTGGGCTGGGGGCGGGGGCCCTTGTGGGCGCCTCTCCCCTCATCCTTGGGATGCTTTCATCTGCAGGCTGGGAGGACTTTCCCAGCCAGGCCGGCAGGGAGGTTGGCCGTAAGGGGCCGAGCAGAAGAAATGGCCGGGAGCTGTCCTGGAGACAGAGCGAGTGCCCCCGAGAGCAGCTGAGGGGGGCGGCTGTTGCGTGGGCCGGCCTGCAAGCGTGCAGCCTTCCTGCTCCAGCGGCTTCATCCAGAACGGCCAGCATGGGCGCCGGGGCCGGGCTGCTTCACTGGGGCCTTCCCGCTGAGCCACGGCGAGGGCCCTCGCCTGCTGCCTGGCCAGGGCCTCGGTCGTCCAAACGTGGGTTGTTCTGCTCCTGCGGTGGTGCAGTCCCTGTGCAGCCTCCCTGGCCTTGGTCTCCTGCCGCGTCCTTGGAAGATTGGGTGAAGTGGTGTCTCCAAGCGCCCGGTGGCGGTGAGCCGTGGGGCCAGGGCAGCCGGTTCCAGCAGCTGGGCACTCTTCCATTGCCCTGGGGGGCTCGCAGCCTCCCTCCTGGCCCTGGGCACCCCCCCACCCCGCACAGGGGCAACAGCAGGGGCCGCATCCCCCAGGGAGGACATGGGTCCTGCCGGCTGGCTTGTCCTCCCGTCATCCCCGCTTCCTTCCCCAAGCCCAGCGTGTGCCCTCCCAGGCCTGGGAAGCGGCTGGCTCTTGACCCCGGCCGCCTGCAGGCTGGGCCTGGCTCTGCTCGGGGCTCACGCAGGCTGTGGCGGCGCCTCTTTGTGGGCCTCCCCGCCCAGCCCATCCTGGCCATCCCGGCAGAACGTTCCTCCCTTGCCTGGAATGTGGGGGAAGGAGGAAAGCCGCCCAGGCTCCTCCCTCCCCTTCAGTGGGGGGTGGGGGAATCCCACCTCAGTGCTTGCTGTGGCAATAAACAGGAAATCCAGCCCCCGCCCGCCTGCCCGCCCGCTCTCCGGTCCGTCCATCTCCTTTTTGGGAGTCAGGCTGCTCCGAGGCATTCCTGCCGGTTTAGTCACCGCGGCGCATCCTGCTCCTTGTGCCCCACGGGTGGCGCGGCTGCTCCCTGCGCCTGGTGGGGCTGCTGCAGCCCGGCGGCCCCTGCGAGGGAGCGAGATGCCCCGCAGGGCAGGACTCGAGGCGGCCGGCAGCATGGACGGGCCGAGGGCCGGCGGCAGGGCAGGGCAGGCGACTCACGCCTCTCAGGGGCCTGGCTGCCTGCCCCCCAGCCCCAGCCTGCGCCGCCAGTGGGGAGGAGCGCTGGCAGCTGGGCAGGACTTCGGGCGGGCTGCTGCCGGGGGCGGCCATGCAGAGAGCTTCGGACCCAGTGGGCCACGTGCGGCGGCCGTGCTTTCCTGCCGCTTCCCAGGACTTCCGCTTGCTCCCGGAGTCACGGGTCTTGCGGGCTGGAAGGGCGGCTTTCAGGGCGAGGGTAACTCCCTGGTGGGAGCTGCTGGGTGGAGGCCGTGGCAGGGGCAGCATCACCTGCGTGGCCTCCAGCAGGGCGGCCAGGGTGGGCTGTGCTGGGCGGAGCACAGGGGGCGTGGGGGCAGCAGGACGGCATGGAGGCCCCTGGCAGGACTCTGCATCCGTGCTCTGGGGTGGCGCTCAGCCCCTGGGCCCTTCGTCCCCTGCAGGCGGAGTCTGATGTGGCATCACTGAACCGGCGCATCCAGCTGGTAGAGGAGGAGCTGGACCGTGCGCAGGAGCGCCTGGCCACCGCGCTGCAGAAGCTGGAGGAGACAGAGAAGATGGCTGACGAGAGCGAGAGGTAGTGGGCCATGGGTGGTGTGGCTGGAGAGGCCAGGGGTGTGCGGGCAGCAGCACCTCCTGGGTCTCTTCAGGCGAGGGTGGGCCACCGCGGTCCGCGCCTTTGCTAGCCCTTGTGCTGGGCCACTTGTCTGGGGCTAGCCCGACACACGTGCTTGACAAAGCGGGGACGGACGGTGGATGCTGCATTGACCCCTCGGACCCGAGCGCGGCCACCACCAGCTCCCTGCTCGGAAAAGCGCACTTGTAGGTCAGAGCAGGAAAATGCCCGTGCCGGGTTGCGGTGGATCCTGGGTGAGCCTTTAAGGGCAGCACCGGGCACGACTGGGAGTGCAGGAGGAGCTGGATCGGGCCCTTCCTGCCTGGGCTTCTGTTCACACTGTGGCCAACCAGCTGCCACAGAAATGTGCCAGCAGGACAGGAGTGGAACAGCACCCTGCTGCCCACGTTCCCCAGCGGCTGCAGTACATCGGCACACTGCCTCTGATACTGGAGGCACCATGTACTTATCAGGATTAGTAGCCGTGAGGAGCCGCCTCCTCCAAGCAGATTCCACCATATAGCTTGACGCTGTGTGAAGAAGCCCCCTCTTGCCTGCCCTGGCCTCCCATCCTTCAGCTTCACAAGAGGACCCCCTCGTGTTCCGGTGTCATGGAAAGACAGAAATGCCCCTGTATGTTTCGGATCGTTCACCCCTCCTCATGGTGCTTCTCCTTGCCTTTTTCTGCTTTTCCCACCTCTCCCGGCAGTGTCCTGCTAGCAGCGCCGGCTGTTGGGAAAGGCTCCAGCCCCTCCTCCCTCTGAGCTGCCCTTCAGATCGGAAGTGGATCCCTGCCCATCCGCCTATCCCACTTTACGGCCAAAGGGAGCCTCTGGACATCCTTTATGTGCTGTCCGCCCTGAGGCGCAGCAGATGGAGGGAGGGCTCCAGGGGGTGAGAGGGGGGCCTGCTGCTGAAGGATGCAGAACGTAGGCACAGGCCCAGGGCCAAAGCAGAGGCCCAAACCTGGGCAGGAGCATCTGGCGCCTGACCTGCGGCTCCAGTGCACACGAGAGCAGCCGGGAGCCAGAGGAGCCAGCCAGAGTCCCTCCTGGCAGGCAGAAGCAGGCCAGGAAGCAGCCGGTTTTCGGCCACATTAGTGAATAAAGAGAAGTGAAGCAGAGAGAGGACCCAGGGGAGAACTGGAAAGGCAGGGTTCGGTGTCACCTGTTTCGAAAGGGCAGAGCTGCTGTGGGGATGGAAGGAAGGGCTACATGACGTAATTTCTGGGCCTAGAATTTTTCTTTCTAGTCTAGCAGTGAACTTCTTAGTTCTGACAAGACTATTTGGGCAGGTAGCCTAGTAAGTGCTTCAGAGGGCTTGGGCCAGACATGTCCTGGGGCGGAGCATCAGCCCTTCGCAGGTGGGGGGAGAGCCAGGTGACTCAGGTGGTGAAACCTTTGCCTTGTCTGCTGAGTGCTGCCTTGGGCAGCGGGCACGCAGCCGTTGTGCTGGGGCTGGCACCGCTCAAGTGCCACGAGGCTCCGTGGCCTCCCCGCAGGTTGGGCACCACTGCCATCACCTTTGCGGCAGCGGCCAGGAGAGCAGCGGCTTCCCGGGGGCTCGAGGCAGGTGGGGAGAGTGGCCCGTGCTGCCGGGCAGCATCCCTCTCCCAGGAAGCCTCCGGGAGCCCAGGTTGGCTCACCAAGGGGTACCTGCTCGGCACGCGCATTTCCGTGTGCGAAGGCCGTGCTGCTTTCACCACTCCCGCCAAACGGATGGGCGAGGGTGCAGCGAGGGCCTTCTCTCCGGGCTGCGGTTCTGGTGGCCGTGGTCGAGGCGCCTGGGCAGTGTCCACACCCGGAGTGTGGGAGTGTGGGCAGCGTCAGTGGCACAGGAGCCTCCATGGCTCTGGAGGGGCAGAGGTGGGGCTTGCGGCCCCTCGCCCGGCCCGGCCCTGTGCAGCGCATGAGGTGGCAACCCGGCCTCCTTCACGTGTGTGGGGGGGCTGCGGCAGCAGCAGCTGCGAGCAGAATGAGCGAGGGGGTCCATCTTCAGCCGTGGCTTGAAGCCCTTCGGAAGGGGAGGGGAAGCGCCGGCTGGGCCAGACCTATTGTCCGTCTGGGCCAGCATTCCACGCACACAGTGGCAAACCAGCTGCCCGCAGGACGGGTGCAGGGCCCCCCTGCCCAAGCCACTCAGCGGCAGCCGCCACCTCTGGTGAAGGAGGTAGCCCATAGCCAGCAAGGCTAGTGGTCACTGACGGCTTCCGGCCTCGTGAATCTGTCCCGTCCCTCTAAAGCTGCCCAGATAGGTGGCCATCACCGCTTCCCATGGGGCGGGGCAGGGCGGGGAAGGGGCCTGCAGCCCGAGGGAGCAGCGCAGGGAGGAGCTAGGCGCCATGAGTGCCCGCGCTTCCTCGGCTGGCGTGCGGAGGGCTGTGCCAGGCCGGAGGGCTGATCCCTTGGCTCATCTCCTGGTTGTTGCCCCCAGAGGAATGAAAGTCATCGAGAACCGAGCCATGAAGGATGAGGAGAAAATGGAGCTCCAGGAGATGCAGCTGAAGGAAGCCAAGCACATTGCGGAAGAGGCGGACCGCAAATACGAAGAGGTGAGGTGGGGCTGGCCGGCCGGCCGGCTGCAGATCTGCGCCGGGGCAGGAAAGTGGGGGGAACACAGCCGCATCAGCTGCCTCCGGTGCCGCCCGCCTGTCCCCGTGGCTTCCCGCTGACCGGCCTCTGCTTGACTTGGCAGGTTGCTCGTAAGCTGGTGATCCTGGAGGGAGACCTGGAGCGCTCTGAAGAGAGGGCAGAGGTGGCCGAGAGGTGAGTGTGGCCCCCGGTTCGCTCCTTCCCGGGCGGGCCAGCCGTGCCCCAGGGCTGATGCTGCTAGCCAGTCCGGGCTCCCGAGCGTGCGTTTTGCTGGGAGCGCCAGCCGTCTTCGCCCCAGGAGCCCTTGCCCATCCCTGCGCACCTAGCACGTCTTGCTGCCCTGGGGGTCGCGGGCTGGGCTGGGGGCCGGGATCTCCCTCTTCTGCCTCCAGGGCCGTCTCCTTCGAGCCATTTGTGGCAGAGCCGGGCCCACAGCTCCGGCCTCCTGCCCGTCTGCTCCCTCGCTGGTCCAGAGGGAGGCCTTCCCGCCGTGTCGGGGGCAAAGCGCCCGCCTGGAGCACACAAAGGCGTCCGGCTCCTCCCCTGTTCTGTAGGGCCCTGCTTGCGGGAAGCTGCCGGGCGGCCAGTCTTCCTGCGGTGGCCGCCCCTCTCCCCGTGTACCATCAGGGGGGCTGCAGGGGTTGCCTGGCCTGGCGTGCCCCAGGTCCTCCCTCCCCCTGCTCTAAAACAGACCCCTTTCGGTTGCAGAATCAAGGGGGCCAGCGGGAGCCAGGTTCATTTTGCCCGCTAGCCATTTCTTGTAAATGTAGCTCCCAGTATTTCACCGGGCCATTCCCGCAACCCCCACGGTGCCTCCTTGGTGTCCCGCCCCCTTCGGGGTGGCCAGGCCCGAACACGCGGGCCCCTCCGAGAGCTAAATGTTCCTGCCCCGCCTTGCCTTCCCAGCCGCATGAGGCAGCTCGAAGAAGAGCTCCGCACCATGGATCAGGCCCTCAAATCCCTGATGGCTGCCGAGGAAGAGGTACTGAGCGGGGGCCCCTTGCCCCCATCTCTCCCCCACTCGCCCCGTCTCAGCTGCATACGCCTCTGCCTGCTCTCTGTCCTGCTCGTCCTTCTCTGGAGCGCTTCCTTTCGCTGTGCCGCCGGTGCCACTCGGTCCCTGGGCCGCCAGGCGCCCCTCGCCCCGCACCAAAGCGGCTGGGCTGCCGGGACACGTGAGGAGCCAGCTGCCCCAGCTGCCCACCTTCGGAAGCGCTGTGCCTGCTGCCCCGGCTGGTCGCTGGGGAAGCCGCTCACGGGACACAGGTGGCCCTCCTGGCTGGGCCCCGGCGGAGATGCGGCCACGGCCCACCGTGGGCCCTTTCTCGGGCTTCTGTCCCTCAGAGCAGCTGCTGGGCTGAGGCTCCGCTTGCAACAAGCCGGCGGGTCACCCAGGGGGCCTGCCCACCCCAAGGCCGAGGCCAAGGAGACGGTGCTCTGGCGGGCACGGGCGCCCCAGCGGTACTCCTTTCACACCCCTAAAGAGGAGCCCGGCCTTCTCGCCCTTCCTCCTGCTCTGCCTCTCCTGCTCCTGCTCCTCCTGCTCCTCGGGCATTTCTCTGCTCTCTCATCTGGTTCTCCCCTCTTCCTTTCTCTTCCGCCTTCTGCCCTCCCTCCTCACCCTGGCTCTGCTGTTCACCTGCCTCTCTCTCTGGCTGGGACACAGTAAATGTGGTGACCTTGAGGAAGAACTGAAAATTGTCACCAACAACCTCAAGTCTCTGGAAGCTCAGGCAGACAAGGTAGGGGGCCAGGCCAGGCCTGGGAGTGGGCTGGGGCTGAGAGAGGAGCCCCACAGTGGCCCCAGAGCCAAAGGAAGGCCTTCCCGGGAGGGCTGGGGAGAGGGAGGGATGCAGGTGGGAGATGAGGTCCACGGCGGCGGGAGGGGGTGTTCCAGGGGAAGTGGCAAAGCATGGCCACCCTTGACATGTTTTCCTTCTCCCCCACCTCAGTATTCCACCAAGGAAGACAAATATGAGGAGGAGATCAAGCTGCTGACAGACAAGCTCAAAGAGGTAAGAAGCGCTGGAGGGGCTGCCAGGGGCAGCCATTTCAGGTGCATGTGCGGTGGGGACACAACATCCCTCCCACTGTGTCCATCCTGCTGGGCTGAGAGCCACAGTTCTTCCTCCAGGCTCATTCCCCAGCTGCAGATGTTGCCAGGATCCAGGCTGGGACCTCCTCCATGCATGTGCCCTCCTGGGGGAGGGACAGTGAGACGGATTGGCTAGACTTGGATTAACTAGGCACACTGAGGTGCGGCCGGATCAGGTTGCACATCACAAGCCAGCGAGGTTGGCGAGCGTAGCCCCTTCCTCCCACCCCACCCCACCCCACCCCAAACTCTTCCTCCCCAGCTGTTCTTTCCACCGTGAGGGGGTGGAAGACCCCTTCCATGCCTCCCCCACCCCCGCCACCAGTGTGCCAAATAGCAGCATTTCGGAGTTTGTGCTTTGGGGCATTGGGCGTCCATGCACTGCAGGCCCAGCTCCAGGGACCAGGCGGAGGCCGCCAGGTTGATGGACAAGTGCGGTGGACACGCACGTGAGCAGGAGCTTGTGCCAGCGTCCCGCAGTGATGGCTGTCCCCTGAGCTCAGGTCGCGTGTGATGGGTCCGCAGGCGCGATTGGCCCTGGCCTGGCCTGGCCTGGCCTCAGTCTCCCCTCCGCAGCATCCCCTCTCAGACCTAGGCTGCAGTGTCCGGTTGGCGTGGCCACCAGGGCACTGAGCCTCCACGGTCTCTGCTGTCAGGCCAGGCACTGATGCTGCCTCCTTGTCCCCCAAAGGGGCGTGGAGGGGCACTTCTTGCATGTGCCCCAGGCGGCTCCTGGAAGGAGCAGCACTTCCACGGCCGGCTTTGCAGCAGGAAACTGCTGAACTGTGGTGAGCTAGTGAGGTTTTATTCTGGCCATATTTTTTAGCATTTCCCAGAACTTTTCCAGTTGAAAATAGCAACATGGAGAAAGTTTTTCTTTCCAAATGCACCAAACAAAGCTTTCACGGCCGAGCTCTTTACAGCTGTGAATGGGAGCAGACCTGTTTGCTGTTCATCCGGCTGTGGCCTGCAGAGGGAGGCTGCCGCTTGCCCGAGACTCTGCTCTGGGCTTGTGCCACACTGCGGTCCTTTCTGCAGCCAGCCCTGGTGCAGTGTGGAAATCAGTGTTGCCTCGAGGAAGAGTTTCCGTTCCCCATTTGTCATCACTTTCCCTGCCGAGTCTTCCACGGCACTTGCTCTGTGGAATTCCCCCCCCTTCCTTCACCTGTGCCATGTCAGCAGCCCTTTTAGAAACTGGCCTTTCACCCCATGGCAGCTGTTGCCCTCACAAAAACGAAACATCGGGGTGGGAGGCTGCTCAGAGGTGCAAGCCTTCCCCAGCACACCCGGCGGAGGTCTGGGAGCTGCCCGGCCCCTGTGCAGCCGCACACTTGTGCGGGTTTGCAGGCCACTTCCAGGCCTGGGGACGGCCGTCCTTGCGCTTTCTCTCCCCCCTCCGGGAGGCAGCGGGTGCAGCCTGTCGCCGGAACAGCAGGGCTCTCTTGCCAGCAGGAAACCGCAGCTTCGCTCGAGCAAGGGGCAATCTGGGCTTTCTGTGCGTGTGCACTTCCTGCACCAAGATCTGTGCAGGGTTTGTGCTGTAGCGTCGTCTGTGACTTACGGCAGCCTTACGAATGGAAGCCCCGCAGGTGCCTTGTCCGTGACAGCCCCACGCAGCTCTTCCGAGCTCACGCCTGCGGCTTCGCTGAGGGAGTCAAGCCATCTCATATTCAGCCGTCTTTTTCTTCTGCCTCCGGCTTTCCTCTTGCATGAGGGAGTTCTGCCCTCCTCTGCAGGGAGTTCTGCTTTCTCATGATGTGCCCAAGGTGCAACAGCCCCAGTGCCGTCACCTTTGCTTCTGAGGAACCCTCTGTCTCGATTTGACCCATGTCGCACTTGCTCCTTTCTGTCGGTTCGAGGTTTTCACGGACCTTTCCTCCAGCATCATGCCTTGACTACTCCACTTTCCTTCTGCACTCTCTGGGTTCCTCATCCAAGCATCCAGTATTCGGGAAGCCAATAATGTGGACAATCTTGGCCTTGGTCTCCAGTGAAACACCCCTGCCTTTGGTTATCTTTCCTAGTTCCTTCCTTAGTGTCCTTCCCAGTTTCAGTGTTTGAATTTCTTGGCTGCAGGCTCCCTTTGAACTGACCACTGAGCCAAGCTATGCAAAAGCTGTAATTCTTCTGCAGTCGTGCTTTTTGTTTTAATATTTCACTGCAGTCCTGCTCCTCTTTCACTTTGTGTCAGGAGTCATTCCGATTTGCTCTGCCAGTGCTATGGTAGCAGCTGCTTATCTTAACTTACTGATGTGCCTTCACCAATTTTCACTCCTTCCTCGGAACCTAATCCAGTTTTCCTTGTGATACATTCTGCATACATACTGAACGGGGGGATAAAAGAACCCTTGCCCGATGCCTTTGCCTATGGAAAACAGTTCTGCCGCTCTGCACGTGGCTCTCGCCATCCTGAGTTTCTCATGGGCCACACAGCTAAAGCCTTCCTCGTAGACCAGAAAGCAAGGACTGATCAGCTGCTGAAATTCTTCGGTGCATATTTGCCAGGAAATCCTGGGAGGCTGTTACTTTTTGGAATCCAGCTTGAGCATCAGGGATTTCTCTCTCCGTGTAGGGTCATTCCATTCTGTGAGGTGTGAGGTGGTATAGAAATGGGAATAACAACAACATTGCATCACTTTGCTTGCGTGGGAAACTGGTGCAAAGGTGCGGTGCTTGCTGTACCCTTTTGCGTCTCCTTTCTTGGTGACTGGAACGTGCGTGGACATCGCAAACGGGCAGGTTTCCTTTTGCATCTTGTTGGGTCTCCCAGATCAGCACAGACATCCAAAGGATGTTGGCTCGCAGCGAAGCACCTCCTGCTGTCAAACCCGGAGGCACAACTGCTCTGCCTGTGAGCTTCCTTCCTGCGTCTTCTGCACTGTGGCGTTACGCATTGGCCGTCCTGGGCAGGTTCACTTGAAATTCCACCTCACTGGACAAAATGCAACCCACATCCAAAGAACTGCACATAGGATCAGGTTGTGAGTGCCCAGAACCTTCTAGAAGCAAAGGCCAGACCTTACTAGGCAAAAGATTGTTCCTTATTCATTAGTGGTGCTAAAGTATTTTGTTTTGCTGCCATTTGACCCCAGAGATCCCCAAATTGCATATCAGCATATTAAAAGGCAGTAAAATAAGACAGAATAAAAGAACAGGAAAGAAGTCATCAGTCGTCAGGTGGAATCACTATAGGACAGTGAAAAGAGGGGTGAGGATTACAAATTCTTCCCAGCCAGAAGCGTGAAGGAGAGTTGTGCCAACCCTGCAGGCACGGCAGGAAAGCTAAGCGGCCCTCCCCGTTGGAAGCATCACAGGGTCCCCCCGGCCTCAACGCATGTCGGGCTGTTGTCTGTCGGGGCAGGTGGCTTCACTGCCGTCCCTGGGGGCAGCCCGCCGATGCAGCGGGGGGGGGGCACTGGGGCAGTCGCTCCACGCCCCTGAGTCCACTTCTCTCCCCCCCCCCCTTTTCTGCTGCCCACCCCAGGCTGAGACCCGGGCAGAGTTTGCTGAGAGGTCTGTGGCGAAGCTGGAGAAGACCATCGATGACTTGGAAGGTGAGGAGTCCCACCCGTGCCGAGGCCTTGGTGTGGGATGGGCGAGCTGGGGGGAAGGGGGGGCCGTGCGGGGAGATGCCTTTGTGTGACACCCCCATGCCTTTCCATCTAGCCCTGTCTTCCTTTCTCTTTCCCCCTCTCACATTCACTCTTTTCTCCTCCCGCCTCACTGCTCTGCTCGGCCCGTGCCTCACGCCCCACCTCCATCCTCCTGCCCCGCTGCAGACGAAGTCTATGCCCAGAAGATGAAGTATAAGGCCATCAGCGAGGAGCTGGACAATGCTCTGAATGACATCACCTCCCTCTGAGCCCCCCGCACGGCCGCTTCCTCCCCCCCGCCCCCCCACCGTTGCCTCATCTGTCTGTCCATCCCCGTTCACCCCCCCGTCCTCTCCACACACGCTCCCTGGCCGCTTCCCGTGTGCCTCCAAGTGTCCTTATGTGCGTGTCTGAGGGGCAGGGGGCTCCGTGTCTTCTTTGGGGAGCCCCCACTATGTGAGGAGCGATGCGGCTTCTCCATGCCAGAAGTGCCTTTGCAGGCAGAGCTGAGAGGAGGCCGCGGGGCTCCTTGGGGCTTCGGGGCCAGGCTGTCCCGCGGGGGCAGGAGCAGGTGGGAAGGGCTCCGAGCTCCTTGTGGCGGGGGGAGGGCAGCCCGGGGGAGCCTCCAGATCCCTGCTGTGCCCCCGCCGTGCGCTCTGCTTGTCTGTCCATCCATCCGTCTGTCTGTCCTCGCACTCGCACGGTCCATTTCATGATGCTGTTCTCTTCTCCTCCAGCTTTTGGGTCAATAAACGGTCTCCACCAAGCTGCCTCTCTCCTCCACGCCTTCCTTTCTCTGCGCTGTTCCGGCCATGCGCCTTGCACACCCCTCGCCATGCCCGGCCGGCGCCGCCTCTGCTGCGAGCCCCTCCCGGGGTGGGGTGGGGTGGGGGGCGCATCCCTGCCTGTTCTGGGAACCTTGCAGCTGGCGGCCTGGGGGGTGGAAGAGCTGGGAGAGTGCCCCCCTCAGCCAAGCTTGATCCCCCCATGTGGTTGGGGCCAGGCACCCATCTGGTGCAGTCCACGGGCCTCTGGCAAGCGTGGGCCCCCGCACCCACTGCCTCTGAGACTGGGGGCGGTGCTTGTGGGCCTTTCCTCGGGGGCCTGAGGAGCAGCTGGACCCACTGGCCTTCCGAGGGCCAACTGCGTCCCCCCCACGCTCCCGCGTCCCCTGGGCCGGCTGCTCCCGGGTGCCTTCCCTGGTGTCCTGGGGCCAAGGGGGCTCCGGCTGCGGCCTGGGCCTTCTGGCTTTGTTCCTGGGGGCAGGTGGGAGCTCCCCAGGTGCCGGGAGGGGCGGCCAGAGGCAGCAGGGGGCGGCTGGCGGCGGCCTCAAAGCCAAGGGGCTGCTCTGCACTGATGGCTCTTTCCTCCTCCTTTCTCTCTCCCTTTTCTTCCTGCTGCGCGGACGTCTCTCCCCTCTAGAGCGCTCCCGGCGGGAGGCGGAGAAAAACCGTCTCCTGGCCAGCAGACTGCAGGGGGTCCTGCACGGCCTCCACCACCAAGCCTGAGTGGCCCGGCTTGCTGCCCGCTGCCGGGCCGGCTCCCCCCCGCCCAGGGCCCCCGTCACAGGGAGGGGCTGCCCCAGCCCCGCTCCTTTCCGTGGGAGTGGATGGGCCGGGGGGCGACTAGGGTGGGGGGGATGTGACCGCCCTGGAGAGCCTGCCCCGGTGCTCCCAGAAGGGGGGGGCTGGCCCCAGCCTGAGCCGGGGGAGGGGCTGGGCTGGGCCGCCCTCACACATGCTCCCTCGGCACGTGCTGGGCAGGGTGTGGGGGGAAGCGGCTCTCTTGCGCGTCCTCCTGCCACTGCCACCCCCCACTCCTGTTGGTCACGGGTGGGCCCCCGCCGCGGGGCTGCATTGCCGGCAGCCAGGGCTGGCGGCTCTGGGCAGGGCCACACGGCCGGGCGGGCTCCGGGCCCTGGGCCTGGCCTCCCGTCCAGTGCCAGCCACGCGTTCTGGCAGCCGTGGGGAGGGAAGGGGCAATTCCCAGCCACGGAGCTGCCGAACTGAACCGCCCTTCGGCGCGTGCGTGCGTGCGTGTGTGTGTGCATCTCTTCCTCTCCCTCCGCTGCCTCCTCGTACTCCTCCCCTTGGTGGCGGCGGCCTCCTTCTCGCTGTGGATGTGCCTGGGTGCCTGGGTGCCTTGTGTTTGCAGAGAACCTGGCCAGTGCCAAAGAGGAGAGTGTCAGCATCCACCAGGTCCTAGACCAGACGCTGCTGGAACTGAACAACCTGTGAGGGCTGGCGCGGCGGCCCCCGGCCTCTCCAGCCACGCAGCGGCCCCACCAGCCCCACCAGGAGAAGGGCGGTCCCCGGCCCCAGGCCTGCGCAGGCCCCTCTGGGGCTCTGCCTCTGCACTGCCCCCCAGCCCACACATTAAAGCAAGCTGAACGGACACGGTCTGCGCACGTCTGGTCTTTGGGGCATGGCGACGTGGCTGGCTTGGGGGGGCGGAGCTGGGGGGGCGGAGCAGCGCCTCGACGGCACACGGGCAGCTGCTTCCTCACGTGGCGGCTGGCCTGGCTGCCCTCCCCGTAGGGGCTCTGCCCGTGCTGGAGGCCCCCGCCCGGGCGCAGGGCACTGCGGTGGCTGCCCGTGTGGAGCCCTCGCGAAGAGGCGCATCCCTTTCTGCTCATCCTCCCAGGGCTCCCCAAGGAGCCTTTACCGCTTGGCAGAAGAGCTGGCAGCTGCAGGCAAGAGGGACCTGAGGCCTAAAGCTGGAGGGGGCCCAGGGGTGATCTAGCCCAGCCTTCCCTCGCTTGCTGCCTTCGGGGGCTTGCAGGACAGCTTCGGGGACCATGGTCCACTAGTGGAGCTGCTTGGGGCTGCAGGAGGAGGCCCCAGTCGGGAGGGCTGGGCTCGTGCAGCGCAGGGTGCCGCTGCGCATGGCGGATTTGCACCTGTAGCCGCTCTAGTCAGCGGTGCTCGGAGGCCTCCGGCACAGGGTGGCGCCTGGGAAAAAGAGGAATGCGGCTGAGTGACGTGGGGGGGGCGGGGGCGGTACAGAACGCCTGCCCCAGCGCCGCCTCACACCGTGGGCCACGTCTGCAGGGGCTTCCTGTCTTCATGTGAGACATCTTGGCCCGGCTGATTGGGCCCCAGGGCAGATTAAGCGGCTGGGGCTGCTTCCTGATCCAAGCTGCTTCCCCAGAGGGGCCCTTGGGGCAGGCTGCCCGTTTTCCCTCACCTGCCTGCACCCCTGGTCCTCCTGAGCTGCGCATGTGCACCCACTGGGTAGCCCTGCTCCCAGTTACAAGGGGCTGCATCAGGCAGGGCAGACCTTGGCCTAGGAAGGCAGGTTGTCTTGTACTTCTCCCTGCCCCAAGTATTTTTCAGCAGGATCTAGTCATTGCCAGAAGCCCCCTTCTAACTGGCCACGTGTGCGTGTGTGCATGTGCGTGCACACCGCATTCTTGGTGGCAGACTGTTCACAAATGCTCGGTGATATTGAGATGGAAAATGAAATCAGGGAGGCCTAAAAAACCAAGTACTGCAGTGCTGTAATAATGGGGGATTTCAACTGCCCCCACATTGACAGGGCAAATGCAAGGAGGGGGCCTTTCGCAGTGCGCTAAATAGCTCTGCCCGAGGACGGCTGTTCTGGCACCAACCAGAGGGGAGGCGATCCCCGGTGGGCGCACCCAGTGCCGCATGGGATGCAAATGCTGCTGAACCGATTGGGAAGGATGACCCCGGAGCTGCCAGGTTCAATCTGCACTTCAGTGGGACGTGCCAAGGTGGCGCGGCACGGCCACGTTGGAATCGAAAAGCAGAAGCCTCTAACCTGAGGGAAGTGGTTAAACAGAGGTTGAAAGGGAAAGTCGAAGGGGTGATCCCTGGAAAATGCTTGGAGAACGCCCTAAACCATAATAACATGCTCAAAACATGCATACTATACTGCAAGTTAGGAACAGGAGGACAAAGTCCACGAGGTCAGCAGCACGGGGATCAGGGGAGCTATTAGGCGGCTTCCTTCAGGAAATGACTGGCACAAACTTGGACGTAGGCAATGAGAGAAGCAAAGGAACGTCTCAAAGAGCAAGGCCAGCAATATGGCCTTATTGTCCTTAAACACATAAACTCCTTTCATCTGTTGTCATTGCAGAGATACAGGAGACATTAGCGTTCCTGGACATGCAGGAAGAGGCATGAGAAGCTAAGGCTGAGAGTCATGATTAAACGTGACATTCTCAACTTTCGTGAACTGAAAGTTACTAAATCACGAGCTCCAGACGATACCCACGCGAGGTTCTTGAAGACCTCAACATTGGTGGAGAATCATTGGGGTGGGGGCCAGTGACGAGCAGGGTCCCCCTGGGCTCAGTCCCGGGACTGATCCTGTTCAATCTTTTCATCAGTGACCTGGAGGAGGGGATGACCAGTCTGCGGATCAGATGCAAAGATGATACTAAGACGGGGCAGTGGCCACAACTGAGGAGCAAGTACTCCGGATCCAGAAGGATCTGGACAGACTATGGAAGTGGGCAGGGGACAACAGGATGGTGTTCAATGTGGATAAGTGCAAGGTCTTGCCCTTGGGGGATAGGATGGGTGTCATAAGTACAGGTTAGGGTTTGGGTTAGGGTTTGGGTTTGGGCTGGAGAGCAGCAGGGATCTCCCAAAAGGAATCTTGGGGTACTGGTTGACTGCAGACTAAACATGAGTCAGGAGTGCAAGGCCAGGAGGGCGAATAGGGATTGATGTCAGAATGACTAGCCTGTTGTTCTCAGGGTCCTCTTTTTTGCATTTTTAAAGATATTATTATTATTATTATTAACATTTCTATGCTGCCCCTTGCCGAAGCCTCTTCCAGTAATCTGGCAAACTCATCAAACATGGCATTTCTGTTTTAGCATGATAAAGCATGCCTTTATTTCACTGATACAAAACGCAGACCATGTGCCTCAAATAGTAGGCATGTCCTGAGCAGAGCTGGCTGGAGCTGGGGCTCACACTCGATGGCCAGGAGGCCTCTTCCGACTCACGCTATTTCTAAATCATTGGTGCGGTTTAATCCCAAACACGCAATAATCAGGTAGAATTATGCTGAGATCCTGCACTTGCTCACTGGAAGTATGTCCCACTGAATCCAGTGTAGCTTCATGGAAATTAAGAAAACTGCGCAGCTTTCATCCAGTGCCTCATTCGGCGATCCCACTGCCGCCTCGTGATGTTTCAATTCATTTTCCAGCACTGCCTTAAGACTGTAATCCTGTGCTTATTCAGACAGACGACCTACCTATTGGCTAGGGAATGACTGAAGGTGTAGGACATTCCTGTCCCACTGTGCTCTGGAATTATTTAGCCCTGTTTGGACTGACACACTCTAAGCAGTTCCTGTCTTTTCTGAATGTACCCTGTGACGGTGGTGCGACAATCAAATGCCACTGAGCCTCTGCATGACTGTGACCTCACAGTAAAACTTTGAAGACGATCCTTTCTGGAACTACATTTAATTGTCCCGTCTGAAGTACAAATTAAAGCACTTGGCTCTTTAATACTGTACATGTAAATAAGCAAAACGAAAATGGAAGGTGTAAGAACCGCGGCACTTCAGGCCGTGGCTGGTGGGACTCGGCCCATGGGCCTCCGTGAGCGGAGCGCAGCGCCACTTTGCCCTGCGGGAGGAACCTGCGGGAAGGCCCAGGGGGTTCAGCCGCACGTGAAGCACCGTACGCGCGAGTCCAGAAGCTTGGCCCGCGGCGGATCAGCGCAGCCGCTGACGCCGCCGTGATTCCGTGGGGACCCTCGGCGACGCCGCGCGGAAGCAAAGGGAGGCGTCCCGCGGTCGCCTCTACGGTTCGGCCCCAGGGAGCAGGCGGGACCCGCGGTCGCCCCCGAAGCCCGCGGCACGGCGAGCGTCGCCGCGGCGACCCCCTGCGCCGCGCGCTCCCGCCGCGCGCGCCCCCGAGGCGGCG